GTGAAATTACCGAATGTCACATGGAAAACCCAATGGAAAATAAAACTTAGCCAGCATTAGACGTCAGAGTGCGCGCCAATCAGAACACAGTAAAGTGTGTTAAAGGTTAACTTCAAGGTTAACCTCGTGGCAAATGTTGAAAAGCTAGAGCAACAGTAAGTAAAAAACGGAGTAAATGCGGTCTAGCATGACTAGCCTTAATTCGGCAAGGTAGTGATTTCTATACTTCCATTTAGTATTGGATCGCTTTGCAGGTTGTTCTGCTTCAAATTACGGTAAACAATAAACAACGTGATCTGTAGAAATCGTAATAATTTGTACATGGTTTGTCATCAGTATTATTTAAAAGAAGAAAATTCCTACTACCAGAAGAATAATATCAGATCAAAATTCTCCGAATTGGAAAGTTTACCAGTATAACTACTGTCTGCTCTCCTCCTCTATAGGGGAAAATGTAGGCCGTACGTAAGCCTAAATGACATACTGAATGCCCACTACTGTAGGTTACCCACCCAGCTAGCGAACTAAACACAGTTTTAAAACATGATCGAATTAATAATAAGGTAGGATATAACAAAACAATAAAGTTCTAACATTGTTTATTTAGTAAAATGCAACATTGCTTACGTGTTGAAAGCTGGTAAACTATATTTCAATATTGTTTACGCATTGACTATCTGCCCGACGATCCAGCCTACGATCATTGCAAAGCTAATTAAAATAACAATGACCTTCGTAGTGGTTCGTAGCTACGTTCCAAACGGTACCTACGAGAGGTTACGCGCAGATACGAAGCGATATTTCCTGTCTGTACTGTATGAGTCAATACTGTATACGATCGTTTAAAATTTCGGTACATAGTCTATTTTATGAACAAATACGTTAAGGAAACGTTCACAATTACGAGAAGGTACGAGTAAGAGTACCACTCAATAAAATAGTAAAAAATCGTGCAATCCGATGTTTTTATACCAGTCTCTTTCGCTTTGACAGTGATCGCTTATTTACCAAGAATAAGATGAGCACACATCTACACGGTTTACATAGTGTACGACGTCACACTTTAACAGTCTAGGTCATGCTAATTGGTTGATACAGTACATGTAAAATGAATGATAACATGTTTTGGTACTGCCTGACTAAAAATAATGGGCTGTACAAGTTGTAAATAATTGGGATTTGGAGGGAAACCACCTTCCTGCTGCTTACAAAATCTACTCGCACTATCAAATGACCTTGTCGCACTGAGCACGACAAAGTTGAATTCCTTGTCGCACCTTGAAAAATCAGGTCGCAAATGCGACCAAATAACCCTTAATTTCAAGCCCTGGTATATAAATTATAAAACCATAGTAAATACTGTATAATAACAATAGGCCTAACACATTTAAATTTATTATTTACCTGCAAAATCGTATAAAAAATTAATAACTTGATTATTTTTTACGTTTGGTTTGCGGCGTATTTCAATTAACTTATTCGTTATTTGTACTATTTTGTTAAATTATTTAATTAAATTATATTTATTATATACCATTATATATAATAAATGATAAGAATGTATGGAGTTTTTTTTTTTTTACTATCTGGCAAGCCGACTGAATTAGACAGATGACTATAAACAATAAATTTAAATGTGTTAGGCCTATGTTAATATACAGCATTTACTATGGTTTTGTAATTTATATACTTTCTATTTTTGTACTATTTGTTAAACTTATATATAATAAATGATAAGAATGTATGGAGTTTTTTTTTACTATCTGGCAAGCTGACTGAGCAAATACTCACAAAATTTAAAATAAAACGATAGAAAGAACAAGTAAATAAATTGAAATACATCCCAAAAATATTTAATAAATCAGTGCAAAAACCGAGTATTAAATAAATTGAAATAATTGAGTAAATAAACTGAAATACATCCCAAACAACAGTACAGTACCAAGAACGAATAAGTTAATTGAAATACACCGCAATTAACGCACTACATTCACTGAGAGACGCGCTTGGCGTCCCATAGAAATGACCGACGGCTCGCGATTTTTTTTTCCGTACGAAACATTTACATGAAACTTCACTCGGGCCATCTCGGATTGACTCGACTAAGTTCGATACGAGGAACAAGAGCAGACACTTCGCAATGTCGTGACGCTCGAGTTTTACTATCATTGCTCTTTATATGTTTACCTACGGTAGGCCTATGATATCTTACGCATCTTACGGATTTACAGTATGGGATGTACGCGTGTAACTAACTCTGACCTTCTTGGATGTTTATTAGATGTTAGTATAATATCTACAACAACAACAGATAGTACCCCCTTTTATAAAATGTTGATAGGTACAGTACAGTAGAACCTCGATTTTACGTACTGTACGGGACCAGAGGGCGTACGTAAATCGGGGGATTCGTAAAATAGAGGTTGGGTTAAATTTGTGTCTAGTGTATGAATTCATCACTTTATATCTTTTATTTAACTAAAATAAAGAACATGAAAATATTGTAAGATTACCAATACGACAAAGGTATAACTTTGGAATTACCAATACGACAAAGGTATAACTTTGGAATTCCCCTGCATGCCTATTCTAACAACAGAGCTGTGGTGTTGTCTGGGCCTGTTAAGACAAACTAAAACCATGTGCGCTGCACTGCACTGGGCGAGCCAACCAAGTAGCGTTCGTGTATGTGAAACAGCAACCATGTGCTATGCACTGGGCGAGCAGGCCCGTAGCCAGGGGGGTTTTTAGGGGTTCGGGCGAACCCCCCTTTTTCAGCGAACCCCCTTTTGCCAGCGAACCCCCTTAGCCAGAAAACGATCCCCGTTTCCAAAATGGTGCAATTTATTACAAAATGGGAATATTTGGCACTGTTTATTTGTCGCTATCGATCGTAGTCCGATCGTAGAAATCAAAACAAAGCTGCAGCCAGCTGAATGACGTAACCAGCAAGACTTCAAAATGAATTATAATAATGAGAGGTTTGTGGCCTAGGCTATTTGACCAATCGCGTGCTCCGTTTATTTACTTTGGCACGACGTCATCACAAAAGTTTGGGCGCTCAACATTTTTTTAATAAAAAAAAGTTTGTTTCACAATAAACATTTACGTTCTAAATCCTGTATTGGAAAAAGTAGTCTTCTTATCTTATTTTTAAAATTGTGTAAGAAGTACAGTATTTACAGTAAATATACATGAACATGCATTTAAATGACATGTACACGCTTTTAAAATCGTATAAATGCTCTGGCTTCGGGCGCTTCGCCCTCAGCCCCAAGAGGGGCTTCGCCCCTTGACCCCACCGGGGCCCTTTGGCGGCCCCCTGGACCCCACGCCCAGAACCCCCCTTGAAGCATGCTGGCTACGGGCCTGGCGAGCCAACCAATTAGTGTTCGTGTAAGAAACTATGTCTACTCAGCTTTGTGTAGAAAATTCGACCAGACGAGTTCTTCCATGGTTTGCCACACAAAGCTAAGGAGGAAAGCAATTATTTTGAGCACCATTGGTAGTTGTTCATCTCACTCAGTTCACATGGTTTTAGATTATAACAA